CCCCAAAACCCCAAAACCCCAAAACCCCAAAACCCCAAAACCCCTTAGTAGTTGGGAGGGATTGAAGAGTTTGGGCTGAAAATAGGGTGGATAAGGGATTTAAGGGGTGAAAGAGGGTTTTGGAGGATTTTTAGGGGAAATTAGATGGATTATGCCTCAGAGGGGGGAAATGAGGGTTTGGAGGGGGTTTGGAGATGGTTTATGTGTGAGTTCCATAGGTGGTTCGCACCGGTTGTTTGAGATTCTTTGATGAAAGTGTGTAGTTGAGGTTCTGTGAGGATTTCGTCTATGGAAAAGTAAGTTTGAATCAAAGGAAGAGGGTAGATTACCTTTAAGACAGTCGAGAAGGATTTCTTCAAATTCAATAGAATTGCTACTGAGATTTTGGAATGTAATCATAAGATTACGAATAGTTGATTCATACTTAAGAGCAAGAGTTTGAAGCCGGCATTGGACTAATTTTAAAAATCTTTTATGCTGAAGCTTCTTTAATTTCATATGAGAGAAAATTTTTTCAAAATCCGAAACCTTGTTTTCTTTCTGGTAATGGTTCCAATGGAATTTCATCATCTTTGGTATTTTATTGAGCTCTGTCCATTCCAAATGAAGTGGGTTTTCATGGCAAGTAAGAAAAGGCTGGAGTTCAGTAGTTACTCAGCTTTCCAAGATGATCTTAAAAGCATTCTTTATAGCAGCTTTAGTCTTCTCTCCATTTGGTCCCTCTCTAAAATTTAGGACCAAAAACATACCTTTTAAGATAATTTTTGATAAAATTTCCTGAATGTAAACTCTCTTCTTCAAATGATTTATTCTCTGCTTGAGGACTAAATTCCATTCCAAGGGACCATTGGTATTCCTTCTTCTTAAATTCCTCAATTTCTTTTCTTAGTCTCTGATTCTCTTGCTCTAGCATATTATTCCGTTCTTCTAAGTCTTTGTAGAAGTTAGCTTTCCTTTTCCTAGTCAGTTTAGCTCTTAAGCGATTCCTTTCTTTATTTTCTTCTTCAGTCCGTTGCTCTATATTAGTTAGAAAGGGAGTACGAACTCTTATTTTCCCTCTTTTTAATCGATTTTTGTCCACTTTGTGTTGTGTCTCTTGCACAACTCTCTAGATCGTTACTAGCATCTGGGATATCATGAATCTCAAAATCTCCCAGTCTAAGAGAAGGTAGGTCGTTGTTCCATTGCTCTGAAGGGAATCCAAATCAATTATCGGTCCTAAGTGGTATGATAGGTATGCTTACAAGTAAAGCTCTGAGTCAAAAATATTCATCCAAATTTTTAATATTTATTATGAAATAGTTTTATATATTATTAATACAAGATATCCTAGTTTTCTGATAGATTATTTTCCACATTTAGATCAGAAATTTTGAGAACGTGATACTTTTAATTATTTCTAAATTATAAAAATATATCAAATCTTCTAGAAAATATATTACTAATACAAACCTATTTGCTTGATTATCAACCTAAACCACCCAAAACCGCCCAAAACACCCTCTAAAATCCCACAAACTCAACCCAGTCCAAAATCCTCTTCCAAACCTTCAAAATCCCTTCTTTCCCCCTAAAACGTCCTCTAAACTCCCAAAATCTCCTATTTCCCATTTTACACCCCTCCCCTCCATCACCCACCCCTCCCCCCTCCTCTCTCCCTCCTCATCACTCTACCTCCATTAACCCCAAACCATCCCTCCACTCCAATCCTAAAATTCAACCCAAATTGAGCCTTCGGGGTTTTGGGGTTTTGGGGTTTTGGGGTTTTGGGG